AGGTTGTCCCGCCCCGGGAGATGCTGCTCGCGCACGCGGAGCTCATCCCGGCTGGATGGAGATAGTACACGATGCCCGGAGGGGAGGGAGCGTCCTTGCTGGCGTGGCTGCTGTACACCAGCATTATTAATAAACCCCCTGCGTTTTCAACCTTGGCATGCTCCCGTCCTCACTGAGTAGTGACTTTTGGAAGTCAAGGCCACGGAAAATTCACTTTTTTGGTGGTGTCGTTCTTCAGTTTACACAAGCACAATGAGTGCTTTGTGCCTCTCGCACACGGCAGGCGCAGTGCCTGGCAGGTTGTGTGTTAGGAGAGGGAGGTGCATGACTGGAGGGCACAGAGTTGGAGTTACAGCTGTGCGTGAAAGGCAAAACAGGTCCCTGTGCAACAGGTTTTGCATGTGGCCATGCAAAGTTCACCTGTCCCATCCTTCCGAAGGAAAAGCTGTGATGGCAATAACTGTTTGCCAAGATCTTTTAAGTTACTCCATGAAAACTGCCACCTTTTGATAAGCAATGTATGAACATTGCACAATTTTAGCCCTAAGCACCTGCGTATTCCCAGCGCTAAACGCCAAACTCTCATATTTCAGTATACAAGGATATGAACCGTTCCTGGGAAATGTAACATTGGAACCAAACATCAGGATTGAAGAGAACACATTCAGAGGATCTGTTGTGATCCAGGTGTGTATATGGAAGACAAGAACTCTCACACCAGTTGAAGGGAGTGGTTTGCCCCACCTCGTGTTGGTTCTGGAAGGAAAGGCATAAAAATTTGCAGCTGATACGGAATAATCTGTCTCAGGAAAAAAATATCCCAACTCATAAATATGGGGAATTCTTATCAAATGTCAAACTGCTGTTGTAATTCTGAATGTTCTCACTAGCCTTGAATAAGTCTATAAAATGCTGGTAAAGTCTTACATGTGTGGCCACAATTTCTGGAAACGTTGTGGGTACAAAATAGCTACAGTGTTCACCACTCTGATTCTCTGTCTCTGGGTACCTGCATTGTAGTAAGAGTCTGACTAGAGCTGTGTTCTCTGAGCCACCCAGTCATAACTTTCCATGGGTTTAATCCTTATTACTATCCATTTGTCATGCTCACAGAATCATTTGGGTTGGAAAAGAACCTGGAGATCATTGAGTCCAACCTCTGACTCATCACTACCTTGTCAACTAAACTATGCCACTAAGTGCCATGTGCAGTTTTTTCTTGAACACTTCCAAGGATAGTGACTCCACCACTTCCCTGGGCAGCCTATCGCAATGCTTAACAACAGTTTCTGTGAAGAAATTATTCCTGATGTCCAACCTGAACCCTACTTCATGGACTAGCATTCAGAATCTTTCAATCATGTTTAAAGGAAGAAGCCTTTAAAAACAGGCAAAGGTCTTTTTTCACTTTTTTTTTTTGTTACCTTTCTTGAATTCTGTCCCTTCCAGGTGTATTATTTAAGAGCCTGAGGAGGTAACCAGCACCTCTGGGCTAGGTAAGAGCATGCAGCTGATGAAAAAGCATCATCCTGCTTTGTGCTCTCCCCATGCCATTCTGTATGCATGGTTCACCCCTGTCGTGTTTTGATTCTCCAGTGGCTGCTGTGCAGCAGCACCTCAGGTTGGACATGGACTGCTGGCTGAGGTTTTACTTGCCCTTCCTCCCCTGGCCTGATTCATTCCTTTACATCTCAGTTATGGATGAAACTGCTCTGAATTCTCTGTGCTTTTGAAGAGCAGGCTCTGTCTTACAACATCCTCATCTTGTGCAATACTCTTGGAATCCCTCTCTGTTCTGTCACACCATCTTGTCACCACCTTTGGCCCTCCTTCACATCTCATTAATAACCCAAGTACAAACAGCTGTCCCAACCCCCTTTCTACTATTATGAAAAGTAAGTACAGGTCTTTAAAGTCAGACATTTTTCTTTGAGAAGATACTTGTCTATGCAAAACTGCCCTTTTGTACTTACTGTTTGACAAAATGCCACAGCTCTTGTGTTAAGTAGTGCTCTATGTAATTATCATCTTTTAATAAACCACTTAAAATTGTAATTAAGAAATATATGCCTAAAGTAAATACATATATTAAATGTAATTAAAATATTTCAAGTATGTTTGCAGTATAAAAGAATAATCTTGTTAAAAGCTCAGAGTGCTGCACAGGTGGTGGAAAGCTCCAGATTTTACCATACTGTTTTTTTATGAAAGTTCTTCTGGCTAGGATTTTTGTTTTCCTTTTTTCCTGAATGCCATTTTAACATTTAGACCCTGAAGCCATCAAAAAGAAGACAGCACCTATAAATGCAGAATATTACTATTAGAAACAGTTAGTCCTGTACAATGAGAAAATTGATACAGCACTTACAACTCAAAGTATACAACATTCACGGAATAATATTTAATAGAATATTTACTCAGCAATAACCATTACGAGGCATGTTTTACACAACAGATACATCACATGACATTTGTGCCTTTAGTTTCAACTTTTTTTGCCGATATATATAAGTTTAAGTGAACAAGTTTGCCACGAACAAGCCAACAATTCAGGCTCATATGCTTCAACACATGAACCCGCTGAAAGCCAAGATAAATGAGCCTTGGTGTTGTGAGCAGACACGCGGTTGTGGTGGGGGAACAAACACACATTAAACCCCCAAACATGCAGCACACGGATGGATGGATACAAGCAATGCCCCCATACAGCTGTCACATGCAGCGCTCTGTGCATGAGGGACAGGTTTCGGCACATTTTTACTTGAGGTGAACATGCATCCACGTTTTCAGCAACAGCTACACGTAGGACTATCGAAGGGGTGAAGCCCTGACCCCACAGCTGCTGTCAGGGGGATTTCTGCCGTCGGCTTTAAGCAGTGGAGAAAGTGCACGTGGGATTTCAACTGCTATTTTTAGGCTTGCCCTTTGCCTTTCACCCAAGCCTGTATTGCTCTGAACTTCGCCCGTACCACATCACTACTCCTCACTTTCCCACAGCACTTGTCCTGGAGGGGACAAGGGATACCTACTCTGCTGGCAGCTCTGCCTTTGCAGCTGCTTCCACCACATCCCAATCCCTCCCTTCAGATCTCAGCAACATCTTCTGATAGAAACCAATGATGCATCACATAAACTTAATGAGGTATTAATTACATATAAGAACCAATTCCTTCTTCTCTACAAACAGTATTTCAGGAATTACAGTTGGGCTGTAGATACTATTTTTAACTTAAATATATATATATATGGTGTAATAAATAACAATTTTTTTAAAAACAAGAAGGGAGATTAAATTTGTGAAGTGGTTGATGTTTCCCCTTGGTTTGCACTGTCTCCGTGCGCTGAGTGAGTCAGAAACTGTCCTGTGGCTCCAATGTACAACCTGGAACGCATTGGCCACTTCTGCAAGAGAGGAGACAAGCACAGCACTGAGATAACTGCTTCGCAGTCTGAATGCAGTTCTCAGACAAGCTTTAAGTGTTGATGGAACCACAGTAAACTATTGCTATAACCAGACAGTTCCCATTTTGTCATTAGCTGGAAAATGTTAGGAGCTCGGTAAGGGAGCCTCAGCATGGATGTTTGCTTTGGTAATCAGTTGTGAGGCACAGCTCCCAGCCCTGCCATGGCCCAGCAGACAGGAGCAGGCTGTTCTGGTCAGGCATCCTACCAGTTTGTATCGTAGATGTTCTGTTAGAATAAAAAAAAAAAAAGCATTCCTTGTTATGGCACTAGGGATACCATGGGGATATACCCACATCTGCAGGGATTGCAGCCCCCACAGCACCCACCACAGCACAGGGGCTGCTGAAAACTGTGTTAAAGGGAATTGAGAGTCATTGCTCCTTGGCAGTCTTCAGCACTGACAGCTAAAGTTTGAAAAGAGAACTTGTCATACACATTGGATGCAAAAATACCTGAACCACAGTTCAGCATGAGGTTCCAGAAGACTGCATTTGTTGAGACTTTTGGAGCAGGCTGGCACCTTCCCTGTGGGTAAGAGGCACTTAATCCGGCAGTTAAATCTCAGCTCTTCTATTTAAAGACCTAAAGCAGCAGCATATTCTCACTTGGAAAGACTGTACCATCTCATTGAGTAATTTCATTTCAAGTTGCAATGTTACGAGTATGTCACCAGTGAGACATCTGAGTTTAAAGTCATCAATGATATTTTTCGTTTGGTGCACACACAACTGTACTTGGATATTTTTCTTTCCTCAATGTTTGTATTTACTGTGCTTGATATATCAATGTGTAATTAAAGTCTTTATCTGTACAGGTTGTGTTATATCCTGTGCTTTGAGGTTTCTGAAGCACACACTAGGATTTGCCTGTGAACACTTTCATCTGGTTCCAACTGAAAAAATTAATTTACCACCAAGAATATTTAAAATATTGGTTAGACTGATAGACTCTCAAAACTAAATGCAGTTACATGACATATAAGTAAAATTACCAAAGAAATAATTGCTTAAATGAATCCAGTATTGCTCTTTTCTGGTAGCCTGGAAAATGTGTGTCTGGATCATTTAACTGCTCTAATAACTATTTAAAAGTATTTTTCTGCCAGTAGTAGTTGGCAGATGATAAAAAGTACCGTAAGAGACCTGTGTCCTTTCACTCTGACTGAGGGAACTAACAGAAGGTACTTTGAACTTATATTTACGTATATCATAATATTTTTTACTTAAATTATTGCCATCTTCTAATTGATATAGAGGTTTTTCTTCCTTAATGAGCCTGCTAATCATTTAAAGGGCCTCAGCAGCCTACGTTCACATCATGCTGTAAAATACAGCGACCGATGCTGTGAACAAGAAACTCTCTGTGAATTAGGCACTTTGTAGAAATTAGAGATTACTTCACAAATTAATCTTAATTAAATCATTCTGAATTCAGACTCTTAAAAAAAATAAAGAAAATACCCCAGTGCTCTAATTCGCTCCCTGTGACCAGAGCCAAAGAAAATACCCTGTGGTATTTGAGCCCCATCAGTCAGCAAGCAATGCACTTGGAAACAGTTTCCAGCCCCAGGTCTTCTCCAAGAGCAGTTCGCCTTTCTCATCCCCTCTGCATCACTGATTTTGTCTGACAGAGGGAAGAATGTATATCAACTAGACAAAATAAATGCTTAAAAAAGCACTTTCATGGAAGCAGTTAACACATGGCTGGTAATTAATGCCACCTTCCATACTGCAGCTGCCTCGGCAGGAGAAGCAAAGCAGGAGGGACAGCGTGTCACCTCACCACATACAGCCTTTACAGCAGGATCCAGGGGGTCTGGTGGGGGATCACCAAAGTTTCTACATGGGGACCCTGTAGATGGACCATGGATGCCAGCACTCCTCTGGTTCTGCCCTCTACCTTCACTTCCAAGGGAACCCCACTAGGTTTGGACTTAGGCTATAGGACCTATGCAAAGTTGCTGAAACTGGATGGACAAAGCTCCAAGAAATTTCCATCAGGCCCCTAGCACCTAGGCACAATGGTTAATCCAGGCAGGTTTTTCATGTCTGAACTCTAGCAAAGTACATGAGCTTGAAATCTTTAGTTTCATCTAAGTGTCTAAAGTGCATGTACTTCTTCAGTGACAGAAGCCAGTAGCTGCTTAGCTTTCCTACCTTGACAGGGTGGAGGTATCCATCCCCTCGCAGGGTGCCCAAGCCCTCTGCTGGTGACTCTTCCTCATCCTGAAGGCTGCGAGTGAGATGTGCGATGTAGGTGGTGGCCAGGAGGAGCACGTCCAGCTTGGAGAGCTTGGTGTCAGGCGGCACAGATGGGAGAGTCCTCTGCAGCTCAAGGAAGGCATGGCGCAGGGTCTGAACCCGACTGCGCTCGCGAGCGGCGTTAGCGGCGGCAGGTCGGCCTGGAGGGGCCCCTGGCCGCTGCCCAGACACCAGGGGTGGGCACGAATTGCCACTGGCAGCAGAAGGCAGCAGGGAATCATGCTCTGCACCCGAGCTGGAGATCTCCTCACTGCTGTCTGCTAAGTGTCCACAGTCCATGGGTGACTTCCTCGGCAGCGAGGGTCCTGCAACCAACAAGAGCATCTGCAAATCACCTCCGGCGCATCTCTAAGCTGTCTGCGCCGGAGCCAGCGCTTCCTAGAAACAAAGATCATCAGCCATGCAAGCACTGCCTGTGCCAGGAAAAGCTGGGATGCAGCTATGTGAGCTGCTTTCCATTCACTGCTTACAAATTTGGTATCACACACAGATACAGAAACAGAAGTTAAACTCTTCAAAGATTAGAATTTCATTTTTTTGGCAGTATTACACAGAGCAAGTTTTTTAAGTTACTCATAACCCAGCGATGGCTTCTGAGAAAACCCAACAGGCACCACTCAGCAGCACTGTCACAGTGGTTTCCATTTACAATCAACTAAAGTTAGGCTAAATGCAATTCTAAAAATGCATTCTTTGTATGATTTGGGATGTGGGACTCTTTGTATTTTTTTTTATCTAGCTGCAATCTTATTGTCAACAGTGTTATAGGTGGTGAGTGCTCATGGAAAGAAAAGTCTCATTTTCAGGTACAGCAGTGAATGGAGCCACAGAGCACAGACTCAGTGTATGAAGTGTGATACTTGGTCCATGATTTTATAGGATCAAGAGCCAACTTCTCCCATCCTCCCACCCCTAATGTTACTAAAATTTTTTTGTTCTTTTACTCTAGCATATAGATTTTCAAACTGTAAAAGAATTTGGTAAGCTGTGTTTTGGCCATTGAGGGGCAAGAGAACCTTTGGAAAACAATGGGCAAAAAACTTCTTTTGCACAAAGCTGAAAAAAGTGTCCACAAGGTCTTTTCCCAGGAAAGCCAGGCAATCAGCTCTGCCTGTAATACAACTCAGAGTCATTTAATTCATTTGGTTCCACGGTAAAATAAAATCCAATCAATATTCCCCAAAGTGCAGCACTTCTTAGCTGGAATAATACCTGATCCTGTTGTCCTTCGATCAAGCAGCTCTCCTGGCCAGATCCCGGATTTCTCGTGTTAGGAGCGTCTGTTTCTGTGACAGCCTGGCTGGACACAGGCAAGAACAAGTCATTCAACCTTTTAATTTCATCCAAATACTATGTAATATTAAAAATTTAAATAAAATTTATGCATGTAAATGACTGAAGATCTAAATTTACAAGAATTAGGTCTTGCTTTCTGCAAAGCATTTCAAGCACATGCTGAAGTCCCACTGATGTCCCTCTGTAATTGTGGAATAAAAACCCCAAGACAATAAACCAAAAGTAAAAACTTCGAGCAGTGAAGAGATTTCTGAACAATCCTTTTTGTAATGCTCTAATTTGATAGCATTTAGAAGACATTACTGTTTCAAGTGGTTTATTGTGATTAATTTTCTGTAAATCTAGCTCAGAGTTTTGTGAGGTACCTTTCTCTTCGATAGTAGTACAGGTTAGACTGGAATTGTGAAATATTCTGTGCAAATTATAACTGTAAACCCAAGCAAAAAAAATCCTCTGTTTTTTTTGTTGTGGTATTTATGATCAATACAAAATAAAACTCACATTAGGACTACATGAGTTTGTCTTGAGCTCGGGCTGAAAAAAATGGTCCTTAAATTGGCTATTTCCTCTAACAAAATTTTTAAAAAATCCTATGTGCTTTTTTTCTTGGTATTTTCTTGTTGTGTTAAGGCACAGTGAGATCTAAACTGAAACAGATGCATTTTAGTTTAAAAAAAAATCATCATTGCAGAGATGACATCAAGACCAACATTAAGACAATCACAAAACCCAGCAG